GAGGTTTTTACTTCCAGAACAGACTGAAACCGAGAACCGTTCCTTACTGATACTCTGTTTCTAGTATCTTATGTTGCTCTGCCAAGTCCTTGAGCTCTTGAGTCAGTTTGAGGATGGTCTTCTCTTTTTCTTGCACTTCCTCACTGAAAAGCGTTTCATTTTCCTTTCTGAGTCTCTCGCTCTCTTTCTCCAGCTTCACATTCTGGCTCTTGTACTCGTTCTTGAAGTTGATCAGCTCTCGGTGGTTGGAGGCCAGGTGCATGAATCTCTGCTCCAGCAGTTCGGATTTCTTCCTCTCGTTCTCCAGCTCCAGCTGCACATTGGCTCTCAGGTTCTCCAGCTCTGCGTTGATCTTCTCCAGAGCCTGACAGCGCAGAAGCATCTCGTCTGCTCTCTGTTTCAGGATGCAGATGAGAGTAGACTGCTCATCAATTCTTGATCGCAGCACTTCTGCTTCCGTCCTTTCTTCCTGGGAGAGACTTCGGAGCTTTTCCAGTGCTTGGTGCACATCGTCCATATCCTTATAAGGAAGGATTAAGATCTGGGGTTAAACCTGTGCTAATACAAGTCATTGTATTTAAAAACACAAGAAGTGATTTCTGCTTAATTGAAATGATCTAAGAATCCATTTTCAGAGTTGCATGAGATGAATAATTGGCTCTAGATCGGTTTTTAAAGCCAGATACTGATATTTAGAGAAAAGGTTGTCCAATAGCTGATACATTTGCCAGTATAACACATTTAAAGGAATAGTTCACCCAAAAAATGAACATTTGGTGAAAATGTACTCACCCTCAGGCCATCCAAGATATTCCATTAATAAATCATAGCACATGCAAAATTGCTGAATTTAAATTACATTCAAACATTTATTTGTTTATTACAATATTTACTCAAAAATATTTTTAAATCATTTAGAAAATGTTTGTGCACTGACAAAGCTGTTGGAAGAATGACTCAAAATGACAAAATATTTTGATTAATCAGCCTGGATGAAATCCTGGATGGATTTCTTGTACTGTTTCACATTGGCACTGTAAATTACATAACTGTTTTTTTTTTTATTATTATTATAAGAGCCAGTGATACATTTACATTTATTCGTTTAGCAGATGCTTTATCCAAAACAACTTACAATTGAGAAATACAACAAGCGATTCAAAATAAGTAGGCAAAAAAAAAAAAGTTTCTGAATGATTTCTTTCCATGGATGTTTTTCCAGGTATAATCAGGCAAAAGGGAAAATGGGGCTTTGGCTCCACCTTTCTGCCACTCCAGCAGGAAATGGGACTGGACCATTTCAGTCAGGATGGAGGGTCACATTCACCTGTTGCTAGTTTTGAGGATTCATTTTATTATTAGTTTAGTTATGGATACAGCTGTATGATCATTTAAAAATGATGGGTATTATTCAGAGGTGTGCTTTTGTTTAGGTTTCATCACTAAATGTTGTTTTTTTTAATACTCACCTCCCATGGTTTTGGTCGACTCAGGTCTATATCCTGTTTGTATGAGCCTTATTTGGGATTTTTTTAAAAATGTTTATTTAGTATTTGTTCATCAGGGTAGGGCCTCTATTTTATTTTTTGCTAAACTTTTTGGGGGAGTCATGGCCTAATGGTTAGAGAGTCGGACTCGTAACCCAAAGGTTGCGGGTTCGAGTCTCGTACCGGCAGGGATTGTAGGTGGGGGGAGTGAATGTACAGCGCTCTCTCTCCACCTTCAATACCACGACTGAGGTGCCCTTGAGCAAGGCACCGAACCCCCAACTGCTCCCCGGGCGCCGCAGCATAAAATGGCTGCCCACTGCACATTTTATTTTTGATAGCTACATTTAAAAAAATAAAATAAAAGCCTTTCTTTTTTTCTTGCACTGCTTGTGACCTGACTTCACCTGGTCTGCTCCATTACACAAGTAACCACAATAAAACTACACTTGGATGCACAAGTCAAGCAAGAGCCTAATATATAATGATGGCAGATTTTAAATAAAGGTTTATCTGAGTTTTCAGAACTAGGGTAATTGTTGGGGCAAGTTGTCACATGTTTGAAATATATAAAAATTATTAATATAATTTTGTTCAGTGTACTGTAATATTTATTGACCAAAACAATGCAAGTTACACTATGCATTTTTGCTTGCATTATGCTGTTTATGCCCATTGTGACAGCTTACCCCATTCAGTGTGACGCCACTGAGGCATGTTATGAAAAAAAAGTCGATGCGTGTTATATATGATCTGTATTGTTTATTTTTATTTTCTTAAGCAGTATCGGTGGAAATGTTCAAGTTGTGTGTCAACGAAACGGAATTAGGGGAAGTAACATAAATGCATTGAAAATATTAAATAGGGTTAAAAAAAAATGTGACAACAAACCCCGATATGTTCACCCTAATGGGAGATTATTGGTTTTAAAGCTCACAAGCTGCAAGTAGAGTATCTCGCCTTTGCTATTATAAAGCAAAACTTATAATTCAATTTTAAAATTAAATAAGTATAATTTTTTATTATTTTTTTTTTTTTAGCAATGCGCGACCAGTTGCTTTGCTATTGTTTGGGCGGATTATGTGTTTCAAACCACGATTTTATCACAAACACAATATCAAAACAGTCGGTGGTTGATCGGTTTTGTCAGGCAAACAGAGATCATGCGTGTCAGTCGCTGAAATAAATGGGCGTAAACAGTTTTGTATGAACATCACACGCTCTCCAACGTACCTGTTTAGTGTCTTTGATCATCGTTTTGAGGTCTATTGGGATTTTCAGCGGAGATGTCATGTTGAATCTTTCAAGGCTGTGTTTTGCAGGAAAAAAAAAAACAGGTTTCTTCACAAAGGCGTCTCTACCGCAGTGAGCTGCAGTGATCCTACTCGGCTTGTGGCGATTCAAAGTTTCCCCGGTTGCCCCTAGCAACAGCGAATTTCGTCGCGATTATTTTGCGTGTTTTTCCCCTTCGATAGACTACATTTGAGAATGTAATTCAGCATTTAAAAAAAATCGACTAACATTTATAACACGCACTGTTGTTCCAGATATGTATGTTTTGTGTTTTAACCTCAGGTTAAGCAGATTGGGCTGAAAATGCAGATGTAGTGCTCGAGTTCTACCACTAGATGTCGCCACGACTCCTCTTTGGTGTATGAAGATACTGGTTCGAAAGGTGCAGAATTGTTTTTTACACATTTGCATTAGGTTGAAGAGTAAATAATAAAGAATGATTTTGATCAGCATTACGTTATAATCTACAGCAGTAGCTCTGTTGAAAAAAATGTAATCAACAGACTGTTCGTATGGTTTGCTTTCGAGTTTTCACAGCGGGTCAAGATCAAGATCTTCAAACCATCTTAGGCTGGTTTAAGATGTTTTATTCAGTGGGAGCTCTTTAATTATGAAGTGAGGATCACAGGAGGCTCAAAGGCTCACTTTAACACACATCAGATCTTTATGCAACTTTAGTTTTGGCCCAAAAGGATCACTTATTAGCTAAGCATGAGATCTTTAACTTGCCTTATAGAAATTCACTGACCTTAAGTAACGCATTTAAAACCGTGTTCTGCATTATTTGAGTCCGGGCTACTCTTGAACTTGTGCTCAATCTTGAGAATCCGAGACAGCTGTGGGTTCTTATCAATAATAATTTAAAACAACAAGTCTCATTTTTTTGCTAATTGCAAAAATATTGACTCGAGTGTCCAACCTTAGAAGTATCATGCTGTGGTCTCACAACAGACTCTACAAAAACCACAGTCAATTTGTTATTATTGAATTAACCTGTTGTTACATATTAGAAGCACAAGTTAAAAAAGTTACAAATTAATTTGTTTAAAAAACGTGGTTGACCATGTTTTTTTTTAATGTCCATTGCCACTAGTGGCTGATGCCTGTTAAGATGGTAGCTGTGTTTTGGAACATAGTAGTTGGTTTCTAACTGGTTTAAGCTGCTCATTAACTGTTGAAAGCTGGTAATTAGGGGGCTGATCACCACTGCCTTAAGCTGGTATGACAATGATGGCACAATATTTCTTAAAATTGACTACAAAAATCTGCACTGTCTATTGACAAGCCTGTCATTAGATTTTGAAAACGACTTTTGGCGGAATGGTCATTTCTATTAATTGTTCAATCAGACACAAGTTTAAATAGGAAGCTTAAATTTGCTGCCCTAAACGTGAAGTAAAATAGCCAAAGGCTACACACTGCAATTACCGATCAAGAGTATCAAGTTGGTTTTAATGCTGTGATGAAAACATTTTTACAGTGAACTGCTGAAAAAAAAAAGATTCTTTCTTTTACAGTCTTTCTATTTTAAAATGTCACAGTTAATTCAATGTGTTACTTTTACCATTTCTTTGTAATTCTTTTATAAATACATTTTTGAGTGAAAATTGTTTCAGAGGAAACCAATGCACCAGTGTAATTATATAATAGACTATATTATGTAATATATATATATATATATTTACATTTACATTTAGTCATTTAGCAGACGCTTTTATCCAAAGTGACTTACAAATGAGGACAATAAAAGCAGTCAAAACTAACAAAAGAGCAACAATATATAAGTGCAAATGACAAGTCTCGGTTAGCCTAACACAGTACACGTAGCAAGGTGAACCTGCCATTCATTCCGTCGCAGAATCGGGGAACATGCAAATCAGCAACAGGTATCTCAGTAAATAAAGAAATGTATAATAATTATTATTATTTATAACAGTTATTAGATTTTACATTTTATTATTCTAATTTATTATTATTATTATAACAACAGCAATAATACCAGTGATTTGTAAATATTTCACATACTGTGACTGCACCATCCACACATTATGTAGTCTAGTCAGTGAGCTCCGCAGGTTCCTGGGAGCTAGTTAAGGATTTGATCCTGTGGGTCGAGCTGGGGGGGGAGGGGGGAGCGTCATGAGCACGCCCTTTTTCATCAGCCCGGGACAAGTGAGTGAGAGCCACTTCACTGCATCTCAGTCCCAAGAGCTCCATCTAGCCGGCTTCATGAGGGGCTGGACACACCAGCCGGGACCGTGCGTCACAATGCACCTACAACTTCTCCTCATTATAACTTTATGTGTGCTTCATTGCGATTGTCAAGGTACAGTGAGACTTTTATTATTAACTTGTTTCGTATCATAGCCTATTTGTTTTAGATACAGTCCCTTAGAGCGACTTTTCTAATAATAGACATAACGGGCAAGTAACTTTGCATTATATCACAATTATTCTGGTTTAATTGACATACATAACTGGGGAAAAGTGTAATTAAATTCTCACTTTTTTGTGGAAAAATAAACATCGAATAACGGCATTGTTATTTATAATGAACGGATTTCCGCTCAAAATAAAATTAGATCGTGAAAATAACACCTATATGTGACAGAACAAGTATTTGTTTAAAAAAAAAATGTTTTAAGCTGAATATTAACAACATTGTTGCTGTGGCGCACAAAGCCTCGCTCAGACAGATTTGAGTGAGGCTCTCGGAGAACTTTTGCATGGGCTTTGGCGTTGCTAGGTAACAGAGACGAGCATGTGACTTGAAGACAATCTCTAGCAGGACCCCAAGCTGCTGGTGCAAAGCAAATCCAACACGTTTCTGCGCTCGGGCCTGTTTCTAAAAGACTGTTAGTGGGTTGACAGCAACAGGTTGCTCTGTGTGGTTGCATGGCTAGAGCTTCTCGAAATGTAATCTGCTTTCTTTTTGCCCAACCCTTAGTATGTAAGCTTCTTATGTGAATCAAGCAACTAATTACTCAGCAGCTGCCGTTCAAGACTACCATTGCTGCTCATGAATCCCTCTGTTATCCTAGTGAAAATTAGCTGTGGTTGTCTTTATTGAGATTAAACCGTTTTGTGTTCATTTGTTTATTGGGAGAATTGGGATGGTTGCGTTAAAAAAAAGCGAATTAAATTCAAATTTACTGACCATTGTGACCTTGAGGCGTCAAAATCACATCTTCTCGCACAGTCTTTTGGGTATTCGTACTGGTAAGTTTGTGTCAGGTTTAAATTTGTGGCTTGATTGATCTCCTCAGAAATGCGAGCCAGGAATGAGTTCCAGTAATCCAGCTTTATTCAGCATGTGTTTTGGAGGAAATGACCAAAGGGTCTTGATGGAGGGGGGACAGGTTACTTTCTCTAATCCGCTGAGCTTCACTTCCCGTTGGTTCCTCCGGCTCTCAGTTTCAGACCTGAGGGTCAAAGGTCTTTGAAGGTAGTTACTGGTTACCTTGTTTGGCATGATGCATTTTAATTTAAACTTGGACTTTTTTTGAAAAACCCTGAGTTGGCACAATCTAAACAGTTTTGACACCTCATGTCATGATGTTTATTAACCAACTTGTGAAACCGTCCTTTGTAAATGAATATGAGTGTTACTCATTGCCTGCAAATGTGATGATGCTGCTGATTCATAACTTGTTTTTAAATTATTTTTCACTTTCATTAGTCACGTATTAGCCATCTTTGAATTGCAATGATTAAAAGGACACTTTCACTCAGTGTCACATTCACCAGCGGCCTTTTTTTTAATTATGTGCAGCCATGGGTGCAGACAATACGGTGAAGATCAGCGAACAATGATATCTCATTCAGTAGGCTCAATCAGATGTGGATCAGTGAGGGGCCTCATGATATGTAACAGGATTTCCATGCACAAAAAAAGAGTGGAAATCAGTTTGATGCTGGACAGAGGACCTTATCTGAACCTGGCTGTCAGCAAGCTTTAAAGTGCATAACTTAAACACTTGCATTTGACTGTTTAAAACGGTAAACATCTATGTAAGCTTGTTTCCACCACAGATTAATAGATAGATAGATAGATAGATAGATAGATAGATAGATAAAGGCAATAACAACTTATCTTAAAATTCAGACTTTTTTCTCAATTGCGAGTTTATATCTCGCGGTTCTTTTTTTCTCAGAATTGTGAGGTTCTGAAATCTGACCTTTTTCTCAGAATTGTGAGTTTACATCTCACAATTCTGTTTCTTCCGTGGAATTATAAACAAAAGGTAATTGTAACTTTTATCTCACCAAATCTATCTTGCATTTATGAGTTTACATCTCACAATTCCTTGTTTATATCTTGAAATATTGATTTTTATATCTTGTAATTCTGACTTTTTCTCAGAATTGCTAGAAAAAAATTCGGAATCGTGAGATAAAAAGTCCCAGTTATCGACCTTATTTTTTAATCCTGTGCTGGAAACAAACTTCTATAAACAATCCCATTTTAGCAATAATGTCTAACACTTTCAAACTACTTATAGGCCTACATTCTATAAATGTAATCATTTTGCAGTGTACTTCAGATATTTATATCGTCACATAATGTAAACTATATTATTGCCCGACAATATTTAGAGTATCACAACACATACGCACGCTTTCCCTTAAGCGTAAATAACGCTGATTACGCAGATTACGTTCATGCGCGCGCTTTCTCCTCTGAACGTAAACAGCGCTGGTTACGTCGATTACGCTCTTGGGTACTCTCCAAAATGACGGAAGACATAACTCGGGGGAGAAGAATTGTTTAATAAATTATGTTACTTTTTTGTTTTCTTTGCGCACAAAAAGTACTCTCATAGCTTCGCAAAACTGAAGTTGAGCCACTGATGTCACATGGACTGTTTTACCGATGTCCTTGCTACTTTTCTGAACCTGGGAACATTTCAGGTGCGTTGCTGTCTATGCAGGGTCTGAGAGCTCTCACATTTCATCAAAAATATCTTAATTCGTGTTCCGAAGATGAACGAAGGTCTTACGGGTTTGGAACGACATGAGGGTGAGTAATTAATGACAGAATTTTCATTTTGGGGTGAACTAACCCTTTAAAGTTGGATCCAACTTTATCCATATACATACAGTAAATACATTAAAACTCACGCAAAGCAATATATACTATATAGCAAATCTCAAATGCTTGATTGTTTCTTTCGCCACAAAATGTAAACTATATAATTGCCCAGCGATATATTTCAAATTTGCTATATGGGATATCCAGCTTTATCCTAATACATACATCATGATTTTCTGAAAGGCTGTTTTGAAACAATATGCTTTGCAAATAAATTTGATTTGACTATTATGTATTTTATTGTGCTGCATGGGATGGGAGTAGAATTTCAAATACTTACTTGCCTCAAATAAAATATTGTTCTGTTGCGATTCATCTTGGAGCTGGTTGGTTTGGTTCAAGGCTTAGAACTTTTTAATTGAAGAATGTTTCCTTGAAGAAATCCTTATGGAGCAAATAAATGGGAAAATTACTTATAGAACCAAGGCTGCTTAAAGGTCCCCTGAGATGCTTAGAACCACGCAGCATTACTCTATGTGTTGACGTCATTTTAACTGAAACAGGAAAACAGGGCGGGACATATCAAGCAGCCCCGCCCCTTTTTAAAATAGCGAATAGCGTTCGTTTATATCACAGCTTGGGCTAGTAATTTTGATTTCATGGGGACTTTAAAAAGCAGCCTCGGCTTTATAAGTAACTGTTGCAAATCTTGCCATCTTAAAACATTTTTAGGTTTGCCAGGGACTGAAGTAGCACTTTTGTACTCAAACTCGAGCATCTCAAAACTGCACACAAAAGTCACTAGGTTGGTGCTTCTTGTCTTAAATACCTTTAAAAGTTAACAACTATGATTGTGAAAATGTGCCTGCTAAGTAGCATGACTTTCAGACTGTCATTGTTTATTGTTCTAGAAAGAATTGCACGTCCGCTAGACGCGTGTTTGGTGTTCATTCCTGCGTGTTGGTTATTATACAAATGTGTGAACAAGCTAAACAAACAATAATGACGTCTGCATTTTGAACAGTGAGAAAATGCCGAAATCCCATTTTTCCTGTTCTGCACGTGCTCCTTAAACCTCACACATGCTTCTGGGCCTTTCCGGTGAGAGTCCTTGAGCAACAGGGCTGCTGTATTAGAAACAGGAACAGAAGTTAACACAGTTGGCACTAATGAGGAATTCTAATCCTCTCAGTGTAAACAGCACCCTCACTGGCTGTATTAGTCACTGCCGCGATGCCATCTGAAAGCTGAGAAGCCTGTGTGATGGTGTTCCCGTTTGACGATGTTAGATTGAGTGAGTTGTAAATAATTTTATCTTAAAAGTGATCAAAAATGAGCAACCTGTGATCATTTACTCACCCTCGTGTCATTCCAAACCTGTATAATTCTGTTTCTTATGTGCAATACAAAAGAAGATGTTTTTAAAAATGTCTCAGTGGTTTTTTTTTTAGTCAATGCAATCCAATCCAATGTTGTTTTGGACCCCACTGTTTTAACAACATGATGGTGAGTCTAAGTGTTGTTAAGTATAATTGATATACTAATATAGTTTTTGTTAGTATTTTGAATTAGTATATATATTTTCTGTTTTCATTTTAATTTTAGATAAAGTTTTAGTAATTTTGTTGTGCTTTTTTTAAAGTTTTAGTTACTTTAGTACTTACACTAACTAAATGAAAATGAAAATTGTTGCCTTAGCACTTGGCCCTTTTTTATATTTCATTTTATTTCGGTTAATGTTTATTTGGTAACACTTTACAATAAGGTTCCATTTGTTAACATGAGTTAACTACATTAACATGAACTGACAATGAAACATACTGATGGTAGCAAATGTATTGCTCATTGTTAATGTTAGTTAATGCATTAAGTAACGTTAACTAATGGACCTTATTTTAAAGTGTTACCCTTTATTCTTAGTAATACAATTTTATTTATTTAGTTGTAGTTTTAGTTTTGATTAACGATAATAACCCTAGCTAAATTAACAGCATTTTACAGCATTTATTAATCTAGGTTAATGTTAATTTCTGCATATATTAATGCATTTTACACATGAATTAGTAACGAATAGTATATTTATAGATTCAAAATAAATGAATAAGTTATGTCAAAATGTTGTTTATTATTTATTTTTACGCTATTTATGACATGTTTTCCTGCAGATTTTGGAACTAACAGATTTTTGGTGCTGATTATTTCACATTTTACGAATAATTTGGACAATATTCCAATCTCACAATCTCAAATTTGTTCTAAAGTTTCCAATAGGAGTCAGCAGTGCTGATCTGAAT